CTTCCTCATGTGAAACATTATCAAACTGTAATTGGTAGAAATTACAATATGTTAGAAGTACTTTTAATCAGGTCTGGAAATGCTATAATTGATACCAGTTCAGACTACCTAATTTGTATAATCAGACTCAAATAACAGCATGTGTCAAGTGTGTCCAGTTGTATAATCAATTCTGCAAGAATAAGATTTTGTGCTTTTGTAGAAACATTGCAATCCGATGAAAAAATTTATGAGTAAAAATGATACATTCAAAATACACTGCATTCTTTACCATTATTTTTCATCTTTAAAAGTAGAAAAAAGACTAAGAGTGACTCTCTGTAGAAATACAAGAGTAGGCAAGTGCCACCAGCATGAAGTGCCATGACATTCAGTACCATATTAGTCACTAAATATACATAAATTCAAAATAGGAAAATGTAGAAGACCACTGGCAAATTTCCCAATGTTGAGGAGGAACTCAACAAAATAATATAAGGATATATATATACAAAGTATGATGTGATTATGTTGTGTTGTGCTTCTATGTATTATGGAAGAAAGGGTCAAGGTACAGATGCATTTTGGTTGGAAGAGAGATATAAAATGATGTGATGAAAGAAAGGGTCACTTATGCTATTTGTTGTCCTTTATGGAATATTTCCACTCAGTTGAAGACTTTTTCTGTTTGAGGGTAAAATTTTTGTTGCCTAAGAAACACTAGAGATGTTTTGTTTGTCAAGCAGTAATGTAAGAGAATACAGTTGGTGTCTTGACTCCCTGGCTTGCTTTTAAGCTGTCACCAAATTATGCATCTCACTTACGAAAAATTGCTTGACATTTTTTTCCTTGTGGAACAGAGCCAATCTTTTCCATCTCCCTGGAAATGATGCTGCAAACAGTGAGAAGTTGGGTGAGATGAATGTATTCACATCAGGCACAACATAACCTGGTTGGTTAATGTGCTAGATTCAGGCTTTTGTGTTCCAGTTGGAGCTTCAGTTGGAAGGTTTTGCTGACATTAGCTACTTCAGTCAGACAAAAATGCCCACCTTGCTGAAAGAGGAGCTCAGCATGGTAAAGGATCAGGCATCTGCAGTAAGTTCTGCCAGCAACATTCTCTCTTAAACAAAGTCCAGTATGGAAAAAAAAGGCTACTGTTCAAGTAATTTCTTCGTCAAAAATCAAAAAACACATCTTGAAGTATGTGAGAGAAGAACCTGAATAAAAACTTATTAATATCACTGGGATCTCAGTGCAGACTGCTGTATATAAATTAGCTAAATCTTTTCTTTGTTAGACTGCACACAGCATTCATACAACAGCAGGATTAAGTTTCACTCATGACCCTACACAACACGTCCAGTTGTGGGCTTCCCAGTACAAGTATGCCCATGAATGTATTGGATAGAGTCCAATAAAGGTACAGAAAGGATTAAGGAACTGAAGCATCTCCCCTATGAGGAAAGGCTTAGGGAGCTGGGACTGTTTAGCAAAGAAGAGCTGACTGTTTAGCTCATGGTGGGGGTCTCATCACTGTGTATAAATAGGGGATGTTAGGATACAACGATGGCATAGCCAGGCTCTTTTCCATGCCAAGTGGCAGGAGAAGAGGCAATGAATTTATGCTTAATCACAGAAAACTCTGAAAGTCAGGATACACTTTTTATTGTGAGAGAGACAGACAAGTTGCTCAGAGAGGTTGTGGAATCATCATCCTTGGAGATATTCAAAAGCTGTCTAGACAAAGCAAAAAACTTTAGGCCGTCCTGCTTGAGCACAGAGTGTTGGATTAGGTGACCTCCAAAGGCCCCATCCAGTCTCAGCCAGTTTATGATTCTGGTCTTGTATCTGCACTGTGGCTCTAAAGAGAAGATTTTAATTCATACAAAAAATGAAAGCAGGCATCTTCATCTAGTTACGGAAAAGTCAAGAATTAGTAGAAGTAGTTTTCAGTTTGTGTACTTAAATACTAATGGTCTGCAGCAGGAAGTAAGTAAATGAATCTCTTTTTTTCATCATGAACAAGAATTGGGCGTTGGTAATGGAGTTGTCAGTAGAACTGTGACGTGAAGATTGAAGACATTCTCATTGTATGGATGCGTATGGAATTTATCTCTTGGTTTCAATACCATTCAATTAGCATGGTCAGTTATTATATATATTGTCTGCTAGGCAACAGATGAGTGCAACTTGAAATGGTAAGATCACAGTTTGCACTTGTGTCATAGGAAAGATAGCTTTGAGGTGATACTTATTAATTCTCCTATGCCAATTTAAAGGTCTGATCTGCAATTCCTATTTTTAGCACTGGTAGTATCAGTCTTCACAGCTCTCACTTTGCCAATATGAAGATCTTCCCATCTCATGCAGTGACATTTATAAAGCTGGTTCCACTGATTCAAGCATAGTGCAAGCCAGGAGTCTTTCCAAAATTTTGACAAAATCTTTCTTTGTGACCTTTTTCCTCCCTTTCAGAAATCAGTTAATTTTTCTTTGGCTCAGTTTTGCTGTCTCTAGATAAAAATTACTACCTGACATTGCTGCTGTAAAACTTTGTTCATGCTCTGCCAAAGTGCTTTGAGACACTCAGGTTTAGGCACTGCAGAACTGCCTGCCTTACATAACAACTGCAGGCTCCTGTGCTTGGGGGCTGGCCTCTAGTGACTCCTCTCCAAACAGGGCAGAGCAGAGCAGCCAGGCAGTAATAGCCCCTCTTAGACTCTCTGGAAATCATTGCACAGGAGAAATGTCTTCTGTGAATTATCTCTGCTCGATTTTTTTTTTTTTAAGGTAATGATATAAGTTAGATGTTTCAAATATAACTCATGTTCATCCTTTGATGGAGAGGAACTTTATTTGTGGGTAGGAGTTGTGGTTTCGAGGATTCATGGTCTTTTGGGATGTTTTTTATTCCTGCTATTTCAGGTGAACTAATAAAAGCTACTTAGCATTTCTCTGTAAGACTTCACTACAAAGCCCTGCCAATGCTCAATGGGTGGAAACTCTAGAGCTGATGAAGAAATATCATTTATAACTGTTGGGTGGTCCCACAGACATAGCCCATGCCTCCATCATCCAGATCTGAGAGTCCTCAGCAGCCCTGGCAGTGAGGAGTCTCCGTGGCTGTCAGTATATTTAGGACATAGAAACACGTTGGTTCACTGGTTTAATCATACTGCTGTCATTTTGCAGCCCTCCTTTGGGCTGCCTGCAAGCTGAGTTTTCCTTGCTTTATAGCTCAATGCACATTTGTTGAAGCCCTAGGGCTAAGTGTTAATGCCAGGCATTGGTCATACAGGTGCTTACACTGGCATGGTGATGCTCCTTATCTGCTACCTCTACTCTTTTTCAGTTCATACACTTCTGATTTTAATAGAAACACTGATATAACTCGTGAAACTTTTTCCTCCTCTTGTCCTCATTTTCCCTTCTGGAAATCCCGGCTTAATATCACATGTTGAATAACTGAGTGGCAGTTTGACATGTTTGCTGGGATGGGGCTTATTAGTGGGCATCACTGATTCAGGTTTGTGTAAAATATAGAGACATTTCCAGTGAAAATAGCTGGATTTTGCATGTAGGAGATCAGATGATTGGATCCTAGAATAGCATCCATTTTACATATATTTATTTTTGGCTTTCTAGTCTTTAGCAGAAATGTTTTCATATTTCAGATTCATTTGGAGCATTTGAAATGAGGTGTTGTAAGGAAATTTACAGTACAGTTATTCTCCTTTTCATTTTATACCAACTTCTAAATTTAATGCAATTTTAAAATGTTTATGTCCTACCAAATACTGTTAAAAATTGGTCTAATAGCAGCTTCCTATGTTTTTGGTTTTTTGACAGTATAATTCAGCATGGCTCATTTTGATTTTTTTGAGGTTCAAACCCAGGTAATGAGGGGAATAATGGATAATATCTAGCTATAAAGTGACTGTGTCAAGAAATGTTCAAATACCTGCCAGAAAAAAATAAGATTAGTAGATGTGTTCTGACTGTATAAACAATCTTACAGGTGTATTACTTTAAATCAAGTTCAGTGTGTTCATTTGTTTTCCCAATTTAAAGACCTTGAGTGCATAGCAGAAAATAGATGAGGTTGTGTTGAACAACTAGAGGGCAGTGATGGGGCCTGCAGAAAAGTCCGAGTTGAGCACATTTGGCTGCACTGCCACCCTTTCCTGCCCTTCGGTCCTGCAGGCATCAGTCTCCCAGTGCCACGGCTTGTGAGGACAGTGACCTACATAGGAGTCAGGTTTTAGAACTATAATAAGTCTGCTTCTACCAGAGACATGTTTTGTAATCTGTCTGGTGATGCAGTTATCTCGTTTGAATGTGTGCCAGTAATTCTATGAGGCAGGCAAGTACAGAGTCAGTGCTGAAGCATTGCTCCCGTGGTCCTTTTCAGGCTGTTTACAGACACCAAAAGCTTCCAGAGTAGGATAGCGAGCTTTGTAGGGCAGAGATGCTGCTGGATGTTTGCAAGCATTAGCACATTTTTATGGTACTGCATTAATAATCACATGCAAATACAAACTTAAAAAAAAAAGGCAAAAAAAAGCAGTAGAAGATTGGCCCAAGAACCTCTGCAGGTTCAGCGATACAAGTGCCCTATTTGGGTGCCTACAATTCATGGAGTGGTTTTACCAACCAATTATCCTTTCCATGTTTGGGGTGGAAAAATAATAATGTTGGTAACTATTTCTTAGAATTGCGAACTTAATTGACAATTAGATTTTATCAGATGTGTGACTTGCCAGATCCTCCACAGCTGGCAGGAGGTAATGGATTTTGGACGAGCACTTGTGTTTAACCATTTTGCAATTGGATTTGGTTTATTGCTTTCAGAATTCAGTAGAATATTTAATTCTCTGAACCTATTTTGAACACATTAGGAAATGTTTTAAAGGGCAGCTGCCTTTCCTGATTTGGTTTCAAGTATGTCCACAAAACATTTATCACTTTAAACTATAGCAAAAACATTTCCTTTGAAAGGACTTCTTTTCTCTTTCTAGGAAGGCTGTACTAGCTCCTTTCCCCACAGGCTCACCAAGCAAGCTGTGTAAAGAGAAGTGGCTCCTGTGGCCGCTAAAGAAAACAACTGAACCAGACAGGCATTTGCTGAGAGCTCAACCTGGAGTTTGTGCCAGAGTGAGTACACAAGCATTACTGAGAAGCTTCTTTCTTCTGTCAGACATCAGAATTGTTTTCTTTTCTGACCACAGGCAGGGGGTGCTTGGAGTATGCCAGAAGCCGAGTTAGACTATGTGGAATAGCTATGGCAGCGAGTGCTCTCGGAGAAGGCTCCATGAGGGCAAAGCCGTATGCAGGGAAGCAGGGTAAATGTCACTGCATTTGCTGAAGCTGAAGTCAGGGCAGCTTTCCAGCCAGCAAGCGTGAAGCTCACATTTTACCTCTGCAGTGTGCTGCCATTGCAGCACTGGCTGCTTTTCACCATTAGCTAATAACTTTCTGCATTGCAGGTCTGCACACATGCAACTTTGTTGTTTTTATGCCTTCCTCTCATAAGAGAAAATCTCAGAACTTACTTCCTGTGAGGCACACAATTCTAGAAAACAGCCTTCTTTTGCAGCTGAAGCCAGCAGGGGTTTTTCTTATGCAGCAAGGGAAGAGTTAGCAGGTTCCATAAGGACCCTCATCCCCAGGCTGTGCAGTGAAGGGAAAGGTGATATCTCTTGACATGCATTGTCAGAAAGAGCTTGGCCAGAGGTCTCCTTCCTGTTTCTGATGATAAAAATATTTGTATCATGTGTGAAGTTATTGTGAAATCCAAACCCAGAGGATGAGAAGAAACCCTCGTTTTTAGATGTTCAGAGGAGCACTAAGAAGCATTTTATTAACTTATGCATTCTATGTTTCATCATCTACGAGAAGCTAGATGAAAGGAATATGAATATCACATCTCAGGACATTGTGCTGCTATAGTGATGCTGATGTGCCCAGATGCTGATGTGCCCAGACAACTGTGCAACCAGGTGTGGAACTTTTGGCCCATAAAATTGCAATTATTAAGAGGAAACATATGGAAGACTGCCCTTTAAAATTGTGAGGGAGCACTGGTGTGTTTCTGAACTGATGCCATAAAATAAAAGTATCCACCTAACAAGCACAGTTTGTAGCTTACTTGTCCTGGTAGTTAATACTGCAGAAACTGGCAATGCTTTTTACCTCCAAATATCAAGCTCCTGCTTCAGTTATCGCGGATTACAAGGTCTGACTTTGGGGATGCAAGTCTGGAGGTGTGTGGAGATACTAAAGCAATAGAAATATATCCTGTGAGAAGTCAAAAGTAACTATGGTCAGGGCAGGCATTTGATCTTACTGGAGTAGTTTTGAAGTAAAGATATGTCATCTTCAAGACCTAGGTGAAAATGTAAGTAGTTGCATAACTGAATACTAAAACTTCTTGTAATTATACTGTTTGTTTCCTTGGTAGTTGTGTTTTAATACTCCTAACATACAATAATGAAATAATAGAATTTAAAAGAGAAAAAAGTGAGATATTGAAAGTGCCCATTACTACTACTACTTCTTTTCATAGGTTTCCTGCCCTGATATAATATTGAACAGCTTGTGAGTACAGCTTTCTAGCTTTTGTACACTGCTGTGAATTTGTGAGGTGAATGTAGTTGCTACTCAAGAATACTTATTGGAGGGTTAATTAAGAGAAACTGGGCCAGGTCACCTGGACCCTGAAGGTTCAAGTAATTTACAATATAAACTTGTTAACCTGAAGTTACTATATCTGAATGCTTTATAGTTGTCATGGAAAAACAAATCCAACAAAAACTAGTCTCTTTCAACATCTCAGACCATTCATTAGGTTGTTACTGAGCCTGAACACCATTTTTATAAAATGTACTATTGCATACTTACTGATGTGTTTGTCAATATGTCACACAGAACTGTGATGAATCATTGCAACTAGTCCTATTAGACAAAATAATTTAATGAGGCACATCTGTTAAAGCTGTTTTTGATTTTTTAAAAATTCTGCCTATTTTCTTTCTTAGAAAATCACTTCAGTAAATCTGCAGAATCATTTCCTTTAATTAATTCAACATAGATGTGGAAGGAAATTCTTTCCCAGATATATTCCATTTTGCTTCAAAACTATTTTTTAAATAGCCTTCAGTTTAACAAAGGCAAATTACTTTATGTACTTCAGAAGGGTATATAAGGTGTTTTTCCATGAGTTTCACACAAATACTTTGTGCATTGGTGTAATGGAAGCCTGTGGCATACTCTGTCTTTGGGCCAGTTTGGACCTTGGAGCACCAGGAAATTAGTAATTAGTTATCTGTCGCTTAAAAGGAGGGAGAAAGGATGTGTCTATCTCATGGTGTTATGTACCATTTCCTCAACTTTTTAATTCCCTGTGCAGGGAAAATCCCTGAAGTGTGAACCTGGCATAAAAATAGCAGCTCCTTACAGTCTGTGCCTTAGACAGATAAGAGTTGAATATTATGATATTCCATATTTGTATGGAGTGTCCACAGTCATAGCATAAACATGTTAGAGGTGCTTGTAAAATAGTTTTAATACTGCAGGTTTGAATCTGTAATCTGAAATAATAATGCAATAACTGCTTTCTATCCAATTGAGCAATTTTGGTTTAAAAAGTCTTACTTAAAATTCAGCTACCATTAGAAACATCGTCATTCTTTGTGTACTTGGTGCTGTATTATAACTTGCCAAAAGTAGTTTAAGGAAAAGTCACTTTGACCATTCAGAGAGTACAAAAGAGGAACAACAGTAGGCTTTTGTTTTGTCAGTCTTAGGTAGACAGGAATAATTGACCCACAGGGTGATGACTCCTCTCTACCTAACAGGTTTTTCTTGGGTTTTTTTCCCTTCATAATTGTTGGCATTTATTTATTTATTTATTCTACTTGTTTTCTTAAACAGCTTGGTGTCTTTCTTAATTTTACTGCGCCTTACACAATAAGCTTGAGTGGTGAAAAGAGTGATGCGTGTCAGTGGCTTTCCAGGCTCTTAACATTTCATAAAACAGTGTTTTATGGAAGGAAATTTCTGTATAGAGCCAGTGCCTTGGAGTTTGGGTTCTAGAGACCAGTGACTTTCAATAGTGTAAGGTTTTATTTTCTTCTCACTAAAAATATATTTTTCGTAGCTGTTTTTTGATGCCTGAAGGTTCATAAGCTTCTCTTGTGCTTTCCATTGTCACGGAGACACATTGATTTTGGGAACAGAGATTCCAGTGTGGAGACAATAAATACTAGTATTTACTTATTAAGTAAAAATGTATCCAGTTGCATTATGGTATTCAAAATTTCACTAAAGGCCATATTTTTCTTAAGTTAACTTTTTCTGCTCTGATCGCTTACTTGGATGTGGTTTTTAGTACTAGTACAAGAAAATATAGATAAGATTTTTTTGCTTCATTTGGAAATAAAACTAAACTGAAATATGCAAAATTCTCTCAGAGAAACTCTGATCATTAAAAAAATAATCCCTCTTACCAGCTTTTTACACTTGTATTTTATTTTTCATTTTGTGTACTCTGTCCTGTAGATCTGGCATGATAGAGGGCTACTTTAATTACTACCTCTTGAAAAAGATCAGTGTTTGCAGAGTCTAAAATGTCATTTTCCTTTGGAGGCAACCGTGATGGGAAGAGGATGAAAGCAGGGTGTTTCCAAATTAGCAGTGTAGGTGTGCACTCTTAAAGTCTGCAGTTACTGTGACAGAGTGCCAGACGTAAAGGTACAAAATTCAGAGGATCCTTTCCAAAAGCTCATCATTGCTCAAACACAGACTAAGCAGGTATGGACCCAGTGGAGTGTTCAAGGCAGATAAAGTATAACAGCAGTTGCTGCTGTTTCTGCTCTTCTGGGCTCTTTCCTCAGATAGTCTAAATAGCCCACGTCTCTGGGTCAGCAGTATTTTTCTAATTAAATAGAACTTCAAAGACAAATGCCACTCTCTTAATGCCAAAATTTGTCACAGACAGGATTTCTTACAATAAACAGACAGTCCAAAGAGAAGAAAGGTTAGCTGCTGCAGCATTCTTTTGGCTCTGCAAACAGAAAAGTGCCTCAACTCCCACTGGCTTTGCAAATGTTAAGACTATTCAGCAGCTGTACAATTTACCAGAAGTCTGAGACCAAAGCCTGGGAACGTCTCAGGAGTGGCAGTATGTTACAGGCTTGTTACCAGTGTGTGGCTTAAGAATGCTGGGTTTGGACTTTGATCCACTGTCATCCTTGTGAAGTGCCAGTCCCACAGGTATTCCACTGTTTGACTGGTCTAGTTTACTAACTTCCCACAGTCAACCTAAAATCATCTTGGGTGCCTCAAACTGTGCTCCCAGTCCCTCCTTTTCAATCTTTCTAAATTACGATTATACATTTTTTCAAGCATGTTGATTTTTTTTAACCTTCTTTGAAAAGACAATCAGTTTTCTGAGTAATAGTGTAGGTTCAATGTGGTGTGCTCCTCTGTGCTGGTATTCTCCAAAATCCATGCAATCTAGATGTAGAATTCCTCAAGAGGAATGTGACTTGAGCTTGCTTCTTGAGCTCAGAACACAAAAGCAGTCCTGAGCAATAAAGAATATTTTTCTAGGGAAGCTGTAATGTCTCTAGTAATTTAAAGTAATCTTCAGAAGACATTTTATAGAGTTGAGAATCCACAGATTCCCAGAGAAATTATGGAGGACCCAGACTTTTGGGACCTGTAAACTTAATTGTATTTGTTCTTTCCTAGACATTGGATCTCTTTCCATGTATCTGATGTGCCTTGACCATGATAATCTTGTTTTGTGTTTAGTGCTCTGCTGAAGAGTGAGCTGAGACCTTCCTGTGACGTGTCCCCTAAGTTTAGGTCTCTCTCCCAGTAAGAAAATGCTATAAATAATTGCAGTTTTTTAATGACTGCAAGTTTCTTTCCATACTAGGTGATGCAGATGTACCTCCCCTTCTGTGGGATTGCCATATCCAATGCCCAGCTATTTGCAGCTTCAAGGAAGGAATATGACAGAAGCAGGGTAAGTGCAAAATCATCAAGTGGACCGACATCAAACTTTTCTCTTTTGTTCCTGCAGATTCCAGCTGTGCATATGTGTTTGCTAAGCAGACAGTTTTATTTTAAAAAATTTATTTTCAAAAGATCCCTGTCTTCATTGAGGCAGCAAACAGAGTGTGGGAAAGAAATACACTTGTAGTGGTGGCTGTTGTTTCCTGATGTCAGTTCCATGTTTTGTGGTGCTGAAACAATTGCATTTGTGGCAACAGACGGTGCAGGAGAAAGTGTTGCTTAGACAGACATTCAAGCGCTCATAAAATTCTACTGCTCTCAAACCTTTGCCATCCTGAATTTTTAATATTCAGTTCATGTGCAAATAATGTGGATATACCTTTATAAAATTAAGCAAGGAAAAAAACCTTATGTGTGAAGGGTTTTGACAGCATATCTCCGTAGAATACACACTCATGGTCGCTGGTGCTGTGCATGCATTGGGACAGGAATCTCCGAAGTGAAAATAATGCTGAGTTCCCCTGTCATTCCCTTGTCAGAGAGGCCTTTTATTTTTTGAAGAATAAAAGAGGTAATTTTAAGGCGTTTTTAATAATGGTTGGCTTCTTTTGCATGGTCCTTTCTGCAATGACAGGAAATGATATTTTTGCTAGCTTGGGTCACAGATCCAAAACTTCAATAGAAATACCTCTGGTAGTGTTGAACCTACCCTTCCTTCACAAGGTAGGGGTAACTACAGAAGTCTGGGTCTGTATATTGAGCACTGACATTTTTATATTCATGGTTTTGATGCTTTCATGTATGAAAACTAATGATTTTCACTGGTTTGGGAAAGAACTATAGCCCTTCCTAAAGACCTTTATATTTAGTGTCATGAGGCATCTGAGCTTGTCTTCTGTCCAGGTCTGACAACAGACTATTATATTAGGGGAAGAGATTTGGAGGAGACTTGGGGGGAAAAAAAGATTGTCTGCCAGAGCTTTTTTGGTGGTTTTTTTGTTGTTTTGTTGGGATCTTTGGGATTTTTCGTGGGTTTTTCTGATGTTCAGATAAAATAATTGTTTAACTACAGAGACTTAAATTTTGCTGCAGTTTTCCACACTGAGGAGTCAGCATTTAATCTTCTGAGGGAGGTAATCAGCAGAAAAGTGTTAGGGGCATTCCCATTCTTCATTAGGAAACAGTAAATTCTGGTAAATTGAGTTAGAGACAGAGATTCTTTGTTTCTTGTTGCTGCTTCAGCCCTGCAAAGTGTAACAAATATTGCTGTTGGACAGCTATGTGGTAGCCTGGACGTGATTGTATTTCTGACCTATTGCTGGTGATTAACTTTGCCTGGTCCATGGCTGAAGTCAGTTGGCAAGTACCAGGTGGTGCACAAGCCCATACTGTGCCTTCCCTGTGAAGCCAGACGTAATGGTGGCAACTTCCAGGGACAGTGAATCATTTTCTGTGAAAATGTGAATCAGTGACAATCATCATTTTGCTGATGACCACTATGTTAGAAGAGCTAAGGCCACTGCAGTTTATATGCTTTCCTATAATGGTGCTCTTTAGTGTCAGTGCCCTAAGTGAGAATAAAGGGAAGAGCAAGCTTCTTTGGGCCCATGGTAAGAAAAAACATGGCCTATATTTTTTAAAGTTGATGAAATGAGAGGGGAAACCCTTCATTTTAAAGCATTGTATTTTATGGACACATTGTTAGTGGTGTGGATTGGATCAGACTGCTATTGGAATATAGAAGTATTGATGTGGGTATTTTTCTTTCCAGCTTTGAACATGCAAACGGGCAATAAGAGAATAAAATGGAGTTTTAAATGTCCTCGAAAATTCAGTATATAAAATCAAGCAACTCAATCCATACTGCATTGCATTACAGCCATTGCTTCATTTTTGGAATAAAGTGAAATAGTTTGAAAGACTCCCATTTTTTGCCAAGAGTTGGATTGTGCCTAGTTGTGAGCTAGGGAAATTCTTCTTTCATTCTTCAGATACCCCCACTTCAACTTTGTTGCCATAATCATTAAGAACTTTATTTGAATGAAGATTTTAAGGGATCACTCATATAAAATCCATCCCAGATATGATGCCTCCTTTGCAATGCTCCATGTGTTTATTAATTCTGCAAGCAATACAAGAGTTTTCTGTCCTTGTATACAGGCTTTACTGGAAGTAGTAAATGACCTCTTCGAGGAACAGACTGACTTAGAGAAAATTGTAAAGAAAATTATGCATCGGGCCCAGACTCTACTGAAGTGTGAGCGGTGCTCAGTGCTACTTCTGGAAGATATTGAATCACCAGTAAGTATAGCTGCATATCATATATGAGTACAGCATAGCAGGTATTTTTCAGTGTGTTGCTCCTAAATGTAAGTTAGGTACACGTTGAAACTTTATCAACAACCCTGTTGTGTCCCAGTAGGCTTCTATTAGTGATAGCAGTAAGCTTTTACATTGAGCAGGTGGAATGGAAATCCAACTTTCAGAATTACTGAAGTATTTTTGGTTTTTTGCAATTACTCTGTCTACTTGACCAATTAATAATTATCTCATTGAAGAGCTCTACTGAACAGATGGATGTAAGCTGTATGAAAGTATTTGACAGTTTTGACAGGGACTTTCACTGGGACTTTGCAGTGCTGATATTCATAGGGCATGAGAGCCTTTTAAAAAAAGTTTAAAGTTTTTATTAGTATTGTTATTAGTAAGAAATTAACTGGCTGCCTTTATATTGCTAGCTCCCTCCAGTGAATAGCCCTTCAGGCTATTCAATATAAGCTACCCTCCTTTCTACTGATTTGAGAAGTAGTTGAAGGATAAAACATTGTTTGTAATGTATTTTTTTCTACCCAATTATTATTTTTGTATTCACCGATTCTGCAGTTAATTAATTGTTGCTGGGCTGTGACAACTTAGAGACAGAATCATAAATTTGTTTGTATGGCAGAAAAAATCCTCATTCTTTTCCTTGGAGGGAAGATATGATTCACATTTCATTTCAGTTAATAAAAATTAAGAACTTTAATTGGAGTATGCCCTAAATTATGCCAGCTTTCCTAAAATCAAGATCAAGGGTTTTATTTCACTTATGTTCTCTACTATAGAACTTTAATGTTTCTAGTTCATTTTTTCTTTCTAGATTCCCGAGCCACTCCCCCTCCCCAATTTTATAATTACAAGATATAGTTCTACTACATTTGTATGAAATGTCACTGTGTTTATAAGCATAATATGATTTCTATTTTTCACAGAAATGTCCATTTTGTTAGGAAGTTGTGGGTGGGGTGGCAGTTCATTTTTCTGATCTTGGTACTATTTCTGCCTTTGAGCTTGGAGGGACTTTTCCCAAAGCACAAGCAATGAGTTCTTATTCCTCTAGACAAAATTGTGAAATATGGACAAAAAGCTTTAACTTTTTCTAAATGGTCATAAATCTTAGGTTAATTTGGAGTAGGAAAATAGCATCTTGCCACCCACTTGGTAATTTTTACAAGTGGCAAAACAGTTATTTTCCTGACTTTCTCCTGTTTTGGAGGGTTAACATATGTAACAAAATAGATCTAAGAGTAACTCAATGTCTAACCATGTCTAAAATATTGTCATTTGTACTTTGTAAAAGCAGAAAGCTTTTATGATGCAGAACCAAAGTGAAGATGGGGGCACATCCAAAAACACAGCCTCTGTTCTGTGTCACTTTTTGCCACTCCTAAGATGTTTCACTTATGTGCTTCTAATGCATATATTCAAGTGTGATTGGTTGCAGTTAGTAATGCAAAGCTGCCTTTCTGTTTATTTTCCTATATTAAAAAAGTGAATTTTGAGTAAGGTTCCATAATTCATGTCCCGAAAGCCTTTAAAGGGAAGCGTATTTGCTCATGGAAAATAGTTTTCTGAAGGAATCTAAAGATATTATTTGATTTGATATTGATTTTTAGGGAACTGTGCACTGTGTGTATTTTAAACATGAATTCTCCATTGCGAGAATGCAGATTTTTTTATTTTTATCCTAAGACTATTGGATGAAAATATAGTTTAAGTAGTTTTCTTAGATGTTTCTTTATCTTAATAACCATCTTAAGTTGCTTTTGTGACAGGTGGTGAAATTTACAAAATCCTTTGAATTATTATCTCCAAAATGCAGTGCTGATACTGACAACAGGTTAGTGCTCATGTCTTCTTTGGTTATGGATTCATTTTTCGCACATTTTTAAAGTTTTCTCAGTCAAGATTTTATTTTCATATAGAACTTTCTGTAGATTTAATTGAAGAGTGTGAGCGTATGTTTTTACTCAAACAAGACTCCTGCTTGCTTCAAATGGAGACTTGCTTGAATAAATATACATGCCTATATTTTTTTATATATGTATATTTGTGTGTGTATATATGCAGTAATATTGTATCAGTGTCTCAGGTAAGAAACCAGGGGAAAACAGACTTTTTATGATTGAACTAATTGATAACATGCAGATGTTGTTTTACATGGTCAATATTGAAGTAAAAATTACAAAATTATTTTCGATTGTTGATCTCTTACAAAATTCCTCTGTACAGTTGTGTTGAGAGGTTTCCAATAAAATTTTATTTCTGCTCCTGTCAAACTGGAAAGCCTAGAAACTGCAGAGCATATGTATTTCCTAGAAACTGTGTTCCTGTGACTAAATCTTGTTTGGAGCCCAGTCAAAATGGAAGTATATGTTTTGCTTAGTAGAATCTGTAAACATTTATAAAGGGTCAATTTTAAGTAATAAAAAAAAGCTTTTTGTTCATGTGGAGTGTTATATCAACCCCTGCAAGGTTACACCACTGGTAGCAGTTCACATAAAATGTCCTAGATACCAAATGAGAAAATGAGGATTCAGGGCTGTTGTGAGAACATTTCTTCCATCTTTCAGGGCTCAGTGTTTATCACGCAGGTTTTATGCAGATTAATTCATACTGATTCTAAAGGAGAATTTTCCATATCAAATGGCTGTCATGGCGATAAACCTTTTCATGGATTGATTTCACAGCATTAGAAAAATGGGTAGTGTTAGAAAATTTCTAAGATGTGCAAACTGACAGCAGAGTCCAGGGCCACACAAAAATAGGGGTAGAAACTATCTCCCTTCCATGTCCTGGTATGGGAAGGGTGAAGCAAATGGAAAACACGCAATAAAAAATAGGAAGATTTAAATATGAATAAATAATCTGTTGATTCATCTGGGAATCACAAGTTACTGCTTTTGACAAAGAGTTTCAGAGTAGCAGTTGGTCTTTCCTAGGGGGTGAAAATACATTTCTTTTATTCAGGGACAGGAGTATGAATCAAGGAATGTGGTTGTTATTCCTGTTTTTCTCAAACTTGATCTGTAGCCAGATTAGTCAAAACAATGTAGAGTGGTGTCAAGATAACCAAGCTGGCTCATTTCTTGTTACCATAGTTATATTAGCATGTTGCCACAAAGCAGTTTGTAGTAGCCTGCTCTGCATGTAGTCAAGTCAAGATTATTTTAACTTTAGTCCAAGACATGAATAAACACATGCAACTGGATAGCTCATCTTTAAATTATTCATAAAGGCATATTTCTGTGCATTTTAACATAGAGATGTGTCGCCTTTTCTTTGATGATTTTTTCCTGTGGAGAGTGAAGTTGCTTTTACAAAGACCAAGGTTAGACTGGCAGATATGATGTCACATTTGGATCTCGCACAGGCACAGCTTGAGTTATTGGCACTATTGTGGAAAAATAAAGGTTATTTAGGATACAGAACAATGCTGCGAGCCCTTGACATTTGAGCATTTTTCTAGTGAGTTTTGCCCTTTTCATTCTACATTCTGCAGCTGTAACTGATGTAAAGTCATGAGACTTTTCATGTGGGGAAAAAAAAATGGCAACACTAGTTTCTTCGTAGTTACAGCAGTTAAGAAAAATATAATTTCTTTGAAGTTTTAGTTGAAATACAAAGAAATTTTAGGCTGAGAACAGTTCTCATTGTAAGTTTTATCTAAATAAAAAAGAAGTCCTAAAACAATATGACCTTCATGCCCTAATATACTTTCTCACACAGTTTTAGAAGAAGTTGACTTGTCTTGCCCTCCTTTTATCTGCCTGATAGCAACTCACCTGTTTAATCCCTAAATATCATAATAAATACTCGTATCTATTTTCTTTGCTGTTGGTTGTAAAGAAATACCTTGCAAGGCCACACTTGCATTTATCTGTTGAGTTTTCAGTTTTTCATCTGGCACCATGATCAAGTTTGTTTATTATCCATACCGGCACATTGATGCTCTTGTTTTTCCCAGCGATTTTGTTCTTGAAGTACAAGTTTGCCAAGACCCCTAAATTTTCTCTCCCTTTGAAAAGATGTTGCATTAATCCTAGAATCCACGAGGGCTCAGTTCTGGTATGAGCTAGATGAAGATGAGCCTGATGGAACGTGCTGTGCACTGTGCCTTGCCTGCACAGAAGCAGCAGTTTTGGCAGATGAGGTTACATTTTAGCTGAGATGACAGGTCTCTAACTTGGATACCTGTGGTAGTGGACAGGTCTCCTGGCTGGCCCAGAGTATGAGTTGTGTGGGCAAAAATATCTGTGCTCCTTCCCACTTGGGCTGGTACAGAGGAAGTGCTGAAATCCCCCAACTGTGTTACTGTGCCCGGGATGATGTGTGTGTCTTCTGGAGTATGGGTGCAGAGCACTTGTTAGGAATGGAGAGAACATAATAGAACCCACTTTTAAAACGTCTTCATGAATTTCTTCTTGCTTCTTTACTTGAATTCATTTGCTGCTTAAAATGCTTGACACTCATAATGCAGTCCTGATTTATGTGTCTCATACGATAATGATAATACCATTCAGATAAGTTATGAACTGGTAACTATGCATTTGAAATTAGATCTTTATCCTTAAAGATTTTTTGCTTCTAAAGTATTTGAAATAAATTAGATTATTAATTGAATTTTAAATTATAAATGTGATTTTTTTTTTACATAGCTCAAAACCTGTTATATTTATGTAAAAGTTTCTGTCAAAGTATAAACATAACATTTATTACAGTCACTCAAAGTTCTTATCCCAAATGAAAGTTGATTCCTTTAGATTTCTGAAAATCATTATTGTTTTTATTTATAGTCTTTTAAGCATATTAAGCTTTCTATCAGATGAGTGATATAGTTGAATTAGTCTCCAGAAAATCAATGCAGTCAACAAAAATCAATCCTTTCACTTCGATTTCATCTTTCAAGGATTTTACTGTGCAGCCTGCTTTCATTCATGAGCATTATATCCAAGCCTCAAGCTCTTGTAGTCTTCTCCATAGCTTCTTCATAACTTTTTTCTAAGCAATGTTTCTCAGGCATTAAAAATTTATCAATTTTCTTCTCAAATCTAAGACAACAGGCTTTCTTTCTTTTATTCACACATGAGTAGCCAGACAATGCCAATGTCAAAAACGTGCCTGAAATAAGAGAGAACTTTACTGCTGATTAGGTGAGGTATGGGGTGAGGAATTTAAGGTCTGTGCAGACACAGTTTTCTGGAGAAGCTGCAGTGGAATGTGGTGAGTTGAGGCCATAATTCTGGTGTCGTATACTCATTTAATGATAGCTCTCTAGCCCCTCAGTAATTGTGGCAGAAGCTCAACCAGGTAAAAAGAAAAGGAAATCTTCATGTCTTGTGTGACTACTTGGATCCACCTGCTGTAATATACTTGCAGTATTAATTTAAGACTTATTTAATGATCCCTTCTTCAGCCATTTAGATCTGGCATTTCAGATGCCAAAATATTTAAAAAGTCATTTTGACAGGAAAACTATTGAAAATAAAAATTGAAAATATCACAGATCATTAGATTAATTTTAAAGATATTAAAAGTATATATTTTCAGGTAACTCTACAGAAAATATTATTTAGAACTGGTTGCTTTTCATGAGCAGTCCTGTCTCCTACAAAAACTTAGAACACAATCCACTGTTGATTCATAGGTAAAATTTATCAAATATTTTATCTAGTTGAGACACCAATGCTGTTTTCCATAGAAAGAGTTATGTAAAGGAGAGAATTTTTGAGGTACCCTTTCAATAATACCAAATTATTATTCTATATTATTCTATAGTTAATTTTTGGTAACCATTAATAATTGTGAATCCTTCTGCTGTTCCTATTAATGTGCATTTAAGACATGCTGGACTTGTAATTAACGTTGACTGTATTTTCTTCCCTTGCCCTGCATTTTGATTTCAAAGTTTCAAAGACAGCGTGGAAAAATCATCGTCTTATTCTGACTGGCTAATAAATAACAGCATTGCTGAGCTCGTGGCTTCCACGGGGCTCCCAGTGAACATCAGTGATGCCTATCAGGATCCTCGCTTTGATGCTGACGTAAGAGATTTTTATAAATGTAATTGTATATTACTTTTCAGCACCGAGACTAATATAAAAATTCTGGTTTTATATCCAAGTAGCTGTGAGATGTGTGAATATTTATTTTGAATTATTTTTTCTATTCAGTAAGTTGTCCTTCTCTTCTGTTGTTGACAGGGCTTTACACTGTAAATACAGATCACTGAATTAGCATATTAATTTAAGCTGTTACTTTGTTCATGATTCTTTATTTTCTGTATTTATAAGTGATAACTTCCCCTACCAATTGCCTTGATATTTACACAAACTGATTTTTATTGCTGAAAATTTGTTGGTGTTCAGTGCTAGCAGCACCAGCGTTGTTAGCTGTTGGGGTGACTGGGGCTGTACACAGACAGAGTGTGAACAGAGCTGGTATCCAGACAGACAAATGTTGTTTGTGATCTAACTTAGCCAACCAACAGTTTAATTTATTCAAATACACACTGGATTGGGTACTTCTTCAAGATACATATCACTCCCAATAAAAGTTGTTTGTGTATCTTAAGGTATTCATTTCCTATTAGAAAAGTGTAGCTACAGATAAAAATAAAAGTATACTTAACATCTAGATAAATGTTAGAGGCATATGGAAGGACAAAATCTTCACTGAATTCTAAGCCAGCATTACTATGGAGGGCTTGGCCAGCAGCCAGACAACACATTAATCACAGCTTTGGTCAGAAAGCTTCCTAAAATATATTACTACAGTAAGTGTTCTTGGAAGTGTTTCATGTTGGGAGTTTGCTTGATTCCAATTTTATTCCACATGTCATTAAAGGGATTATCTCTCAAACCAGCAGAATTTTTTGAAATAAGAAAAAATAAAAGGGGCCTGCTGTAGAAGTATAAAAGAAAACTACATTGATGTTAATCTGTTCAGAATTGCAAGAAGTACAATTAATGCCTGGGGTGTTCAGATATGCTAACTTGAAGCATGCCAGTCCTTGATGTTTGCAATTGTACTTGTTTTATATCATGTCCTGAATAATTCAGCTTTCTCTTATTGGTTTCACAGTTAGTTCTTTCGAAGTTGGAGGCAATGCTCAATATATATAAAGAAAATGATACGAAGTGCAATAATAATTTTCTTTTGATGGATTCCTATGAATATTTAATTCTTAAATTCAGTTTTTCTACCCAATTATTTGTACAGTCAGGAGTAGTAAGAGGAACATAGTATCCCTTATTACTTAGAATCAAACATACATTTGTAGTTATGAAAGAAATTCTGTTCTCTGCTTCTGTTGAAAATCATCTCCTATTTTTGTCTCAGAACACCTCTCAATTGCAAATGTTGATGCTCAATTTTCAACTCAATCATCAAGAATTTAATGCAAAAGTATTTTGCAGGTTATTTTATGGCATACGTCTGAATCAATTATTGCCCCACTCCCCTGGATTTTAGGTGGCACTCCACACTGATTTCAGTGAGGAGTTCTGAGTGTGTATAAATAGACATTAATCTAATTATCCCCTGAGTTGTATCTTTTGCTAGCTGGGAGATCACAGTGATCCCATCCTACTTCCCATATATGAATTACTGATGGTCTTTTAGTTTTCTTCTATTAAAGATTGGCTGTAGAAGTGGCAGTTTTAGTAAGAGAACATCCCCTGATCTTCTGTGAGTGGACTCATTCCACTCTCTAATCTCTTTTGAAAAACTGTTTTCTGTTCCTTAGATTTCGAGGTGGTGACATTAAAAAAATAAAACTTATTAATTGTAGAAAAGAGAGAATCAGTGACACTTAAAATAAATTGTGAAGCTGGATACTGTATTAGATAGAAAAAAATAAATGAGGCAGTAAATTGTCATTGGAACAAAAAAAAACAATTATCCCAAATCCCGAGTTTGGTTCCATCCCTGCATTTCTTGCTAACTTGCTCTTCTGCACAATTCCCTATTTACTCTCACCTTTTTCCTGAAAATGTGTATTTCCCATAAGCATCCTTTTACAGCTGTCTTGCTAAGTCCAATTTCAGTTTGTCAATTGGGATGGGTACTTCTAAGGCAAACTTGTTCAGTGAAAGTTATCTCTACTAATCCACCAGTGTAAGTAATCCAGAATTTGTCTGGACATTACCTCAATTATAGTTTGTCTTTAGTGCCAAATCAGAGTCAAATAGTGTAAGCTTGATGTGGCAAAGACGCCAACGTTTGTATTTTCTTAATCCTTATGACTTTTGGTTACTGTGGATGAAGTTTCAGCAGAATTTTTTCTGAGAGGTGATTCACACGGAATGACATTTATAATGTAAACTTACTCCTTGACATTTCTATTACTATGATTAAAAGGCTGAAAACAGCACCACTAATGGAAGCTCTCATTTCTACATTTTAGGCTGACCAAATTTCTGGCTTTCACATAAGATCTGTTCTGTGTGTTCCTATATGGAACAGCACCCACCAAATAATTGGTAAGACTGTCCTGATGGCTGTGTAACTTTTGTGCTAATGTAAATTTAGTTCTATCTTTTTAATTTTGTGTTCCTTTTTCTTCTTTTTCCCAGCTGAATATTGTTAAGAAGTTATGGTACCTAGGATGCATGCTAAGTATCCAAGAAGGGATGTTTTGACTTGGATACTGAATGGACGTTTTCAGCTTTCCAGTTGTGTCTTTGTTAAGTTTTATATTGTGCTGAACTTGAATGAGATGAAAACAGAAATTCTAACCAAATTAGTGAAAAATGTTTTATATGCATTGATGTTTTCCTTGGCTCTCCCTCTGTTTCTTGACTGTTTCTGCAGTCAAGCTAAGTGGTCATTTCCCTCTAATGATAAACTCTGGATGCAGTCAGGGAAGATTTGTTGGAGCGGCTGTGGCAATGGTCAGAGTTGACTGCTGCAGTGGTGGTTGCTGGATCAGGACGTGACAGTTTTAGGGGATCTTTGATAGGATGCTTAGCAGCTATGCTACACCAGCAGTTGGCCCTGTGTTATTACCTGCTTTTGGCACAAAAAGGAGCGCTTGTAAATAACAGTGCCAGATTCCTCTGCTAACTTTCCTCAGAACTGACGTCAAAGCAATAGCAATTTACACTGTCAGGGCGAGAGTTAGAGCTCTGCAACGTGGCTGTCAGGGAGAGCTGAGATCAGTAGTGCATTGCTGAAGGCACTTGGTGTCACGCAGGATCTTTGGCTTCTTTAGCAGAGATGATGTGGGAGTTGAGTGTTTTAAAAATACGTCTTGTTGTGAACTGCACATTGTCTTCAAGAACGAGAAAGAATCTGAACTCCTGATAGATAATTACTCTCACAGTATTTTTCTAAGGGCTTACTGTAGCTAAGTGAAATAGAAATGTTTGTTGTAGTAGAAATCAGCATTAGTTCGGAAAATGCATTTTTTCATTGGCTCAGTAAATTAATGAACCAGTCATGATTAAAAAAGGGTTTATATACCCAGGTGATGCTAAACTAACTAAGATTTTTAGGAATGAAGGTACTGATTCAGTAAATTGTGTTGACAACTCCAAATTTTTGGACAACATATGTGATTGCTGTTAGCAAAGTGATCAAGTTCTTTCTCAAATAGATCTTTAACCTTTTGTGAAAAGCACTGTGAGTTACTTTTAGATTTGTGGTATTATACTTAGAGAGTAAAAAATAATTGCTGAAAGTGCTGGTATCAAAACAATCAAATTATTGCACATCTGTGTCTGTTTAATTATTTTCAGAATAAATATTTGCATTTTGCTTTGCAGTTTGAAATATGAGGTTTACATTTTAACAATGAATAAAACATTCTGCATTGTGCATTAGCGAATGAAGATAATAATTCATATTAACTCTTTCTAAAGGTGTAGCTCAAGTATTGAACAGGCTTGATGGGAAATCCTTTGATGATGCTGACCAGCGACTGTTTGAAGTAAGAGACCCTCAGTTCAGCACTAACATACTTCTCCAGTAGCATTTGGTATTTCTCAGTAATCTGCTTCAGTCCACTCCAGGGATGGGGGGAGAATATCTTGTCTATATTTGTGGTTTGACATTAATCCCCAGAAACCCTTACTTAGAAGGTGGCATCCTAATTACAACAAATTTCTGGCATCTAATCTCTCATCTGGAGGCCAGTGACTCACCTGCATTCTTAAAATAACCTATTTAAACATGATTATTTCTAATATTTCAATGCAATTTCTTTTAATGATGAAGCCAGTATTCATCTCTGTGCTCGTAATATAACTTTCATATTATAACCATTCATAATTGACTCTCTTTTTTCTCTTTTTAAATTTTAGGCTTTTGTTATTTTTTGTGGCCTGGGTATCAACAACACAATTATGTATGACCAAGTGAAGAAATCCTGGGCAAAACAGTCTGTGGCTCTTGACGTATGTGTCCATCTTTGTGAAACCTTTTCTTGCTCCTGACTGTCACATGCACACTATAGAGCCCACTATATTTTAAAAAACTATGATTATTTAAACTTCTCTAACCAGATTCAACAATATAGCACTGTTGTCTATTATGTATCTGAAGATTTTAAACATTATCATATTAAAAACAACCTGGTGAGAAAAAAGCCTGCTGTTTTGAGGATAGCTTTACAAATTTACATTATTCCTACCACAATAATTAAGAGCAGTTTGAATGAAATTTCAGATCTTTCTAAAAGCATAATGCAAGACTGATTAATCTTAAAACATTGCTCTGAGGAAAGACTAGCATCACTAAGATATTGCTATTGTTTTAAGATACTGCTACATGTTTCACATGTGATAAGGGAAGAAAATTATCTAGTTATCCCTGATGTGTGCACCTTTTACCTGTGTAACTCCTTTGAGTTTCTCCAGTCCTCAACATTACAATAAGAACCACAAAAATAACATTGGCCTTTATTTCTTTCTATGAAAAGAAAAACCAAACCCAACTGAATTGATATAAAGAGGTGCTTTTTTCCTTTGCTTTAGGGTTTGAGATATTAATCTGCATAGTGAGGTTGTATCCTGTGATGCACACAGGCCTACTAAAGCTTTCCAAAGTCATTGGCGTTAGAAATTCTAAGCATAAGTGGCTTTCTTTATTATTTGTATTTATCTAGCCATGTAGAAGGAAAAGTTAAAAGCTTACCTTTTCAGGCCTCCTGCAAGATCCCTCATTCTTTACATGTCATAGTCATGAATTAGTGTAAGTCCTCATATGTCCCAGATATTTGTGCAATATGACACCTTAGAATGAAAGCTCCCCCTAGCAAGAAAAAAAAGCAGTGCTAGATGTCACACACAGATATACAGGGATGAAACTTCACATAGACATTTATTTGCTACTGAAATAAAAGAAAATTAATTTTTTTGCTTAAAATAAAGCTCCTTTCTTTGATTTAAAAAGAGACTATAGAGCTTATAGAATATAGATTTGATAAATAGCCATTATTCTTCATTCTTTCTATAAATGGGCAACAGCTCTTGATAATATTTGCATAAAGTGATGGAAGATGCAGGAGAAAAGTACTGAACACTAGAATGGTATGAGATGAAGGACTGTGGATTTTCACTGGTAGAATACTTCATTAGTATTTATGAATTTAGCTATAATGGCAATGAATGACACTTGAAAATTACATTGATATCAGATGTAAAATAAATTAACTTGTTATACATCATAATAAGATTCTTATCCATGTATACTGACACAGGTTTTCATATAGTATTCTGATAAGATTGACTAATAAATAGAAGAGCAAAACATAAATAAATTATTAGGAATGGTTGCCATGATTCAAAGCCAGGCTAAATACTTTTTTATACTAAGGACACAAAATTTGCAAATTAGTTAAAGATTAGAATAATAAATACTAAGGAAGACTGTAAAACTCTAGAGGGATATAATGAACACAGATCAAGGAGAAGCTTGATGAGAACTTTGGTATTAAGTGCAATCTGTCATAGCAGAAGATGTAATTTGACTAATCTTACCAGTTTCTGAGTGAAGCTGCAGTATGGTTGGAAGGAAAAATAGATACTATTTCAGAAAGGACATGATGTATAATCATGCAAAGTAAAATGGGGTACAGAACAAATTAATTTATGTTTTTAATTTATTCTTTTAGAGTGCAGGAATGAATTCCTGTTACTGCAAAAGGTGGCATCTCTAAAACTGATAAGAGTAAATATGTCCTGGGACTTAGTGCCACAAAGTGTTGCAAAACAAAGCCCTGCGAGATACAGTTTAGGTGTTTGTATCAATAACAGAGGCATTCATTGATGAAAATGATTTCAAAGTGAGAAGCCTGTATCAAAGCTTTAGCACATCAGCAGGTCAGGAGCTGCAGTGCAGGGAGGAGGAGCTCCTGGTCCTTGCTGGGAGTGCTCTGGCTCTGGGAGCTCCCTGGTGGACCAGCAGCTCATCCCATGCACAGCCAGACCATGCACGGGATGGCTCCTGCACCTTCTGCAGAGCTTTTTCTGTGTTAGTATCAACCCACAAGGATGGAATGTTCTACATATAAATGGATCCATACTAAGAGGTAATAAGAGTAGGAGTGCAGTACTTTGTACATTTTATTTGATGCTGCTATCTGTAGAATAGTATTGAAGAGAATGTCAGACACAGCCCAGAGGTGCTGATATTTGGATGCAGTGATGTGCCACTAGTATAAGCATTAAAGCTTTTCAGTATAGCAAAAGGCATTATTAAAAGTCTATAAATCTACTGTTACTTTTACATTAAATTATTTCTCTTTTGATTGTAGAACTTCAGGAGAACAATGTAGGAATCCTTATGATATTAAATTACCTACTGTTCATTATTTCCTATAAAATTCCCTGCAGCATAACTGCCAAATGTATGCCTGATAACCTGAAATTAGCTATTACATGCTGTCAATCAGAACTGAATTATCACACAAATGCTAATTAAATTTGCTTTAAACATGATTGATTAGACTGCAGTACAGAGCCCAGATATTGCTACTTGTCAAGTGAACAAAAATGTTTTTTATTTTTTATTCTGGGGCAGGTGTTGTCTTACCATGCAACATGTTCGAAGGCAGAAGTTGATAAATTCAAGGTAAGATTTAAGCTTTTAATATACTTATTTCTGAAACTATAACAGTAAATTAATATTTGTCTAGATTATCCAAGAGAAGTTTTATATCATAAGCAGAAAATCTTCATTGAAAAATTTTTACAATGGATATATTACATGGAATGCTGTTAGGCAAGGAAGGTGGAAAGTTTCTTTCAGAGGATGAGGAGCTGCAGTGGTGGGTGCACAGCAGCAAAGTCCCATTTTCCCAGCACCAGCTACTGGAACTGCATGTCAGTGTGGTGGCCTGGGTTTGGTGGCCTCCTCAGCAGGAACCATCACAGGGAAATCATACCACGTAGGAGATGAGAGAGAGAAAAAGAATGGAACTTGAGACTTTACATGCTTATAGCATGGAAGCTGCCCTATGTTTACTAAAAAAGTGGAGCATTCACTATCCAGATTGAGCTGCTTTTGTGATAGACTGTTTTCTTTCCCTGCTTGAGGAGACACTTGGGAAATTTGGTGATGCTTCCCTTGGCTGTGAGGAGGCAATGCTGGTAGAGGGCTCCTCAAAGCAGTTTGGGAGGCTCTCATGGTGGATATCACTGTCGGTCTCCTGGACACGGAGTGCATCAGAGGCTGTACTGAGGTCTGGGAAGGACATCTGGACTGTTGTGACCCCACATTGTTGGCATTGCCTACTCTGGAGCCCTGGCATCTGTCTGGCTGAAAAATAGCTGTTGGGTGGTTATTTTGACACCTGGTTGTCAGGCTGCAACCTCCTTCTGCACCACGGAGATGGCTGTGGCCAAAGGGGGAACACATGGCTGGCATAGAGCTGATACTGCTGAGTGATCTGGGATGAGGAAGGGCAGCTCTTGCTAGTGAATTAGTTTGTAGATTATTGCCCAAATGATGGCTGTGCCTGGTGTCTGCATCGATACCTGGTGATGAGGGTGTAATATTCTCCCTCCACTGTAGTTACTGGTATGATTACCCACACTTGTGCATGCTGAAGACGAGATTACTGAAACATTGCTGGAATCAGCATGCTTGAAGATCATCCAACACTACAGGAAAAACTTCTGTGTGCACAGTAAGTTGTATTCGTGTTTGGCAAAAAGAACTGAACAGTGTTGAGAAAGAGGATAGAAAGGGATAAAAGACCATCAATTTTCTGCTTTCTTTTTGTATTTCCATTTACCTTAGAATAAGCATCTGTAACATAGTTTCTGTGACTCTCAGGATTCCACCAGTATCTTTTTTCTGTGTACAAGAGGGCCGTACTTGATTACTGTCAGCCATTGAAAGACAACTCTCCATAGTCTCTGCATTTGAAATAACAGCCTGATATGTTACTCTTCAGATGCTTGTGTGATGAGAAGCTATTCTACTTGTTTTCCCAGGTGACTTCATTAATAGATAGACCAGTCTCCAAGTAAGAAATGTCTTTTCATTATCCATCTACCTTGAAGGCATGCAACTATCCATTTAATGACTAATAATAAGGTAAAAAGAAATGAAAAGCATTTTTCATTAATAACTCCAAAAGATACATTTCTTATAAAGAACATAGATGAGAAAATAAGGAAAATAACCAATCTATGCTTAAAGTAAGGTTATTTTTCGGAAAAATTGTCTCTTTTCTATATCCAGTTGTCTCACTTTCAATTCCTGACAAAATGACTCTCAAGTAGTATTTGTTAATGCTTTTACACCACTGGATGTAAACAAAACAAAAGAACAAAAACCCAGAGACAACCAGCATGTCTTGTGGGCCTGTGACACAGAGCTCACCCCAGAGAGGGCCATCCATCTGTGGGATGAAATTGCTCCCATCTCCCTGCTTACAGCCAGCCTCCCTGCTGAGGTCTCCCGAGGCATCCTACCCTGAAATCACTGCTCTGTTCCCTGTTTGTTATGTCGTTATATTTTGTATAAGGCCTTCGTTATATTAGGGTCATCTTCTAGGCTTGACTGGCTAATAAACCATCCCTCCCTCTGGGGGTGTTTGGGGCTCAAAGTGCCCCCTCTCTCTGTGGTGATTTATTGGCAGATGTCAGAGCAAATGTCTGCTACGATTTACCTGATGTCCTGGTTCAGTCAGAGCAGAGACACACACACGACAGAAACATCTAAATGAGAGTGATGCCAGGAGATCACTGTTGGCTCCTGACTGACACAACACCCGGCACTAATTCATGACTTTGGAGTGACAATACATTTGAGTTGACAGCTTCTCAACACATTATCCCAAACATACTGTAACTAGACCCCAGGATCTTGGAAATAATTACATCCTCTTGTAGTACAAGTTTTTTCTTTCCCTCTTTGTAATCTCATTTTTTATAGCCTTCATAAAATGTTTTTCCATTAATTTTTATTTGCTTAGGATCTTAAGAATTTTCTGATAAAAAGTGAAAAATTGCAGGTGTACTTGAAGTTTATTTTTCCTCTGGCATTTACCAGTGAATTATTTTATTGCATTATAGAAAGCCTAGCAAGAGTAGTTAAAGATGATTTTTTAACTTGAAACTTCATCAATCATTTCTGTAAGTGGATGAATTCACAAACGTACAAATTCACAAATATATCTGGTATGTTTTTAAGAATTAAGCATAATCACTGTGACCAGGTTCTGTAAAATAAATAAAAAGTATTTAGTTTCTTATAATCCCATCTAAGAATTAATGAAGAAAACTCCACCTTAATAAGAAACCCTTAAGATATTAAATCTTTCTCCACATGCTTATCCGGGAAAAAGTGCAAAGCACTGTTGCAGCTGGAGCTGGAAAAATACAGAGCTAAATTCACAGTACAGAACAAGAAAACATCAGGGTATGAAAACAGACTATGTCATACAATTGGCTACTAAATGTTTTTAGATTTTTTTTTAATTTTCAGGTTTAAATTATGATGGCTTAAAAATATTTAAATTAAATATACTGTAAATTCATACAAACTGCATAGCATTTTTTTAGGTTCTCTGATATGTGCTGCACTACTGTGATAGGTAGATTTCTGATACCATTCCTCCATATACAGAAAGAAAAACTAAACTTTACTTTTCATGGACATTTACAAGTAAAACAAACAAAAAAAAATCACCTTGACTGCAAATGTCTCTTAGAATGTCTGATGTCTTCAGCCTGATTTACCACTGTGGCATCCACATAACTATGCTAAATTCAAATTGAATTTTGGCAGGATAAGCTAAAGTAATGCACCATTGAATCATATCAATATGAATTTTATTTTCAAGAAGTTAGAAATATCTATGATTTTAAAAACTGTGGCAAGTCAGTTCTCTCTTGTATTTTAGACTTAAAGACTATTCTGTCATTTCTGTTGTGTACTAGTGCTAGCGCTATAAACATTTGTGTCATTGGAATAGATAAGGCACTTGAAGTCTGATTAATCTGAGATTGAAGCTATCCTATAGCATTGTCCTGTGGTGCCAGGTTTGTTCTTATTGAAATTCAGGTCTGCAAGCCTAAATATAGTTATGTGTTAGACAAATATAGATACATGAGTAAAGAACACAGAATTGTGTCCAGGACAAGATATTTATAGCAAGAGTTACTGATTTATGAGACAGTAATGAACAAGTCCTGTGACTTAGCAAGCAGCCTCACAAACACACATCACGTTTAAATTTAACCAATGTAGTTTCCAAAGAGAATATGTAAACGCTGTCCTATTATGGGAAATGTACAAGAAGCTATTTTTAAGAAGCAAGCCTAATTGCGCAGCTGTCAATGGTATAAGCCAGATCAATATTTAATGACTATGATGCATTATTTATAGCCTTGGGAGAGATTCCCTTTTTTAGGTCAAACAGCACACAGGAGAGATACACAATGGAAAATAATGTATCACCTGCTTTACAGTATCTTCAATTCAAAATGTAGCATGAATAACGATTTCTGATTTCCCAGCTTTGTAGCCCGAGGTGTGGCTATTTAAGAGCTACCTTCACATAGAGAGGCTTTTGTGTCTTTCTTAAAAACACTCCTTTAACTACAGAATGATGAAAATAATTGAACCCAAAAAAAAGGAAACTACTTTTAAGACTGCTACTGTATATGACAATGTAAACAGTTGAATCCACGTGAGATGATGGATCTATGTGAATTCGATACTTGGAGTGAGTTATGTATGATTTAACATTTGTTATTCATGCCTTATGCACCCATAAATGTATAACAACGGGCAGCACAATGAAAATACATGACATTTTTGTACTGATTTTATCTTCTATATTTGAAACAATAGGGAAAGCATTCCTTGGCTATGTTATTCTCTGCTGTGATGTCATCTTTCAATTTAGAACTACTTTAATTACTTTTATAAGCTTGTAATTAAATAATTTTTAGTAGTTTATAGTAATTACTTCATAGTCTTCCTCAGTAATTAAACTTCAGAAAGGCAATCAGGCCTTTGTTTTGGACCATTTATGAAATATTGCCACAGAATATGGGGGCTTATGCATTGCTGCTTTTTCATGGCACTGCTGTGCCCATCAGTTTGGTACCCCGTGTGTCCCAAAACTCACAAAGCATCATAGTCCCACTGCAGCATCAGCATTGTGAGCTGTGGGCCCAGCCACGTGAGTGGGGAAACACGAAGCTCTTCACACGCTGCAGGATTTTCCAGCTTGGTCCCCGAGGCTGCTCATACACCTCATATGCTCATATTTCCCTTTGCCTGTCACAGCTGGGTGCAGGCTGGCATTGAGCTTGTCCCCAGTGCTATTCCAGCTGCTCAGGTTCCACTGAGAATAGCAACAAGAGGAAAAAAAAAAAATAAAGAAAAACTTTGAGGATAACCAGGGCTTAAGTGTTAATATTGAATATTCCCTTTTTCCCTTTGGAGAAAGGTACATGATCAGAAGATGTAAAATACATTTTATTTCTCTGCTTTTCCAAATCCACTGCCCAGATGAGAATTAAAGCACCGTGTTAAGAGTTTCATAACTCATGAAACCAAGGTCTTTAGTGTATTACATTATTTTGTACGCTTTGACATGTGCCCATGTC